AACGTTATTTCGGTATTGTAGTGGTCCCGGAGGGCCACGAATTTGCCCATGGAGCACGCCATGAGGCAAATACTAATACTAGTCCTCGTCCACTAATATTGTCGTATGAAAATACATTAGTTCGGGATTTAAAGGAATTGATTGGAGACTTTGAAAGTTGAAGAGAAAAATAGAATTATAATGGAGATAGAGACTGAAATAGTGGAAATTATGGAGGTTGGTAACAGAAAGAAGAGAGCTTAAGCTGGTGTCAGGGAATAAATTAATGTCTTTTTTGTCAGTCGGCTGCTTTGGTTGAAGTTTATTTGGGGCCGAACAAAAATAAAAGGACTATTTGGATAGTAAAGGTGATTTGGCGTGGCAAGAATAGTCTGGCAAAAATCATACTTGGCTCTTTCCATATGCGAAGCGCGACCGGCCAATGAAGAAGATAAAGGTAAAATTTATGTATTATCATATGTAGCTCCGGAAAATCAATAAAAAATGTGATGATTACGAGGGAAAACGAATTACTTTGGAGAGAGAATGGGAAACTTTTACGGCGAGGGGTAAGGAAATATTTTTTTTTAATTTTTTATGGTTTTATATGTAATTATTTATAAATAAAAATTTTTATAAAAACAATAACAGAGCATGAGACATTAGTAATTTTAAACCTACATTTCAATCATCTACAAAACAGTAACAGTAGAGTATAAACGAGTCTTAGCAATGACTATGATTCTTTATTATTATGCAATCGATTACAAAACAATACTACCAGTTGATGCAATACACACATTATCCTTCTCTCTATCAGACGTACTGATCTATTATTATACGCCTCCACACATCATTTCTGTCTGGCTATAAGCCAAAGTCCAACGTGTCCGCATCCTACTCACATCACATGCTTGCGATTACTCTTCTCTGTACATATAATTTAACAATAAATTATGAATTAGTCCTAGACATCCTGCTAAAATATGGATTGTGAATCTCTAGTATGCTAAGTATTCTAGCTTGCCTTCGAATCGGCCAATGCGTAAAACACCTTGAGTACATTAGACATCGCATTTGACCTGCCCGATTATACATACCAAGTAATTCGGTGTATTCTGGCTTTTCTTTAGTAATAATATTTGGTTAACAATTATTGGTAGAAATTGTCATGCTCATGCTTACCAGATACGTTTTCATATTAATATATAGTATACTAATACTAATCTCAATCAATAAACGATCTATAAATGTTCAACGAGTATACAATTTATGTTAGAAACTTAGAAAATAAGTATTTATTTCTTTTTAACTTGTATTTGAACGTATGAATTGCTATTATGGTTATTATGGTTAGCATAACTTCAACTAGTAATCTTGACAATTACTAACAAGGTTTGGTTACGTTTTATACGGCCAAGATTTGCCATTTTATCAAGTCTATAAAATGAATAATAATAATGCAATAGTGATGATAAGACGCGTTTACCTTATTGTCATTTGTGCCGTAGCCGATTGATTCGACATGATCCGAACCATTTTTTTTCGCCATGGCTAGGGTACTTATCTGACGTCACTACTTGGTGAGTGTATCCAAAACGAGTCCTGCATTTTATTTCTTTTTCCTAATCTTTGATCAGTGTCTAATTGTGCCGCTTGTTTTCCTTCTACATTCACCAACTCTTTATGGATTTGAGTCGTATTTCAGTCATTTCTCCAAAAAGCAAAAATAATGTATCTCGGCTAATGTTCCGCCCCAATGTTTACAAAAAAATAATTGCTCAACAATGAGATAATGAACTTGTCTCTATTTTCTTCATTAGTTACATACACGCGCGCATAACTTTTCAACCCCCATCTGCAGCGGAAGCGGGCGGCGCAATTGCTAACCATTATTAGACACAAATAAAACACTTGTCATCCGGAACTTTCAATAGGAATAAGATAAGTGTACGCCGTTTATTGCTAAGCAAACAATAAATAAGATGTCTTGGATAGCAACTTATGTTTTATTAGACGTACTCTATCGCTAAGCGTTAATGCTACATATACTGTATTATAGAATTAAAAATTCAATCTCTATCATAAAAAAACATTGCTTGTAAACCAGAAAACCTTACATTTGTTAGTTTTTTATTGATGCCTTAATTGCTAGGTAATATTATCCAAGCGAGATTAAATTAATATAAAAATATGGTGTAAATCTTAAATGCTGACAGTTTAATAACGCTATGTTGCGAATTTGAAATCTATTAGCAACGGGTAAAAGCTAAATTAATTGCCTTAATATAAGAAAATAATATGAATGCGTCTATATTAATATGTTTACGTCATGCGATATTTAAAGTAGATATTCTGTTTTATTAGTATTAGATTTTCTGCAACTATAATGGACTAGTTCAATTTTGAAATCATGAATGCGGTAAAGTCTGTTTTAACAAATGTCTTCGTCCCGCCAAAATCTTTCCTGAAGCGGACCATTCGTTAAAACGGACCTTTATCTCCATAACAAATGTTTATATAAAATTACGTAAACTTCGTCATGGTAAAATT